GATGCATTTTGCTATGTAACGTGGTAAAAGCAATTAAGTGCTAACTTTTTTTGGAGTCCCTGGAAAAGTTAGAAAATTATTTACAATGTTAGTAATAGGAATATTCTGTCTTTCCTTCTTCATCTCTCTGTCTTGTATCTCTCTTTGTTGTTTGGGAAGATTTTGATAATTTTCTGATAAGCCAAGTAATTAATAAAATATTTTTAGAAGATTTTGTGGCTGCCACTGTTACTGTCTTAAATTATATTATGCCTACAAAAACTGTTTTTATTGTAACTACTGCCTAAAAAATTTTAACTGTGGGTTGGAAGTCAGAGTACTATTTTTAAATAAAAGATTATATTAAACAATAACGTGAAAATTAAAACATCACACGTACCTGGGTGTTAAACTCATTTATATCTTACATCAAGTAGAATTTATTTTATAGCAGCTTTTCATGATTATTTCAACTATGATATAATACAGTTAACTTTTATATATAATTAATGTATCTTAGTTTTTACCTATTGTGACTCTCCATGACTAGAACAGCCTAAAGATTGTGGTTAAATTCACTACTATGGCTTTGACTCTCTGAGTTCACTCAAATTGAAAAGTTAGTGTCTCAAGGAAATTATCCCTGGGGCCTTTCAAACTCATTGCTATTTTTAACATTGAATGAATTATTCCAAGGTGAAGGAAAGATTGATTTTCAGTAATAGGGCAAAAACATAAACATTTATCTGGAATATTCTGCATATTAATTCAGGTTGTCTGTGAGCAGGGATGGTGATACAGAGGTCTTCATCTTTTTCCTTAGATGTGTTTCTGTTGCAGCTGATGTTGTTGTTGTCATCTTGTCAAGATGCCCATCAACCTCAGAACCTAATGGATTTATAAAGGCGTGGCATAAACAAGACTCCTCTTTCTCTTTGATCTTATTGCCCAGTCACTAAAGCTCCTCCTTATCATTTAGCCACTCCAGCAGCTGGGAACTGATCTTAGGATGCTGGTTCTTATGGAATATTAGGGACAAGTCATCTTTGTACATATTCAGCCATTTCACATATGATCATGTGTTTCCACGGCACCTCATGATATATCTTTTTTTTTTCATGATATATCTTTTCCACCTTTCATTGTCAGAGCAATTTATAAAACATTAAGAAGTGCCAGCACTCATTTATGTCAAAGATGACTTCATTTTGAGGAGAAAATATTCCTAATTATGACTTTAGTGCTAACCACAGCAAGCCTTTTAATTAGCAGAAAATTGTTTCTTTTTTTCCTCATTCTCTTGGCTTCCAATGTATCCCTCCCTATCCACCAAGATTCCAATTTTAAATTTCCATTGTGCTCTCCCTCAGCATAATACCACTTTTTGCCATTTACATCAGTTCTACTAACGATTCTCCACTATACACATATTACATTTAGACATTTTTCTCTCTCTTAACAAAATTCCCTTCTCCTGGCTTGTTCTTTGGGTCACCTTCCATGCTGCTTTAAAGAATCAACACCTACTAATATGTTAATGTATATAAACAGAATTCATTATCTACCCCATCCACAAAGTAACAAAAAGACTGTTAGAATTATAATTATCCAAATGGGTACTAGCAATGCTTGGAAGTTTCAGATAAACTTGTAGAAAGACAATAATTTTGGACAGTGGGTTTTGTTTTAATATTCTTGAAATCCCATAAGTGATGTCTGACACACTAGAAGTAACATACATACAGCACTAAGGGCTGATGGCCTCGTTGTCATACAAACAAATGATCAACATGCTTTGTGTTCCTCTCTGGTCTCATTGCCCTCTCTTACTCCAAGTAGGTTACAACACAGTATTTGGACAAGTTAGAGAGGCCAAGATTAAGTGACAGTAACACCCTTGTTCAGTGAAGGTGGCTTCTTGGAAACAAAGTTGGAACAGCAGCTAGTGAAAGGTCACTTTGGGATAGATGACACAGAGTAGTCTCAGTATGCCCTGGTGTGTCCTTCCTGTGCCACAGCCAGTGAAACAGATGTGATTTAGGCTGCCCTCAGAAGTACCAAGTTCTGAGGAGTGTTATTGTTTTGATGAAAAGAGCCTTGTGGATTGTTTTTGATCTGCATATTAAAAAAGAAGAGAAAGACAGCCAGGACACTTCTTAGAACCAGTAAGAAAGACTTTTTCCCTTGAAAAATGTGCAAGATACATCTCTACTGGAAACACACACACACACACACACCGTTTCATCCAGTATCTGTAGTTTGCTTTTATTCCTTAGTGTACATGAATATGTGAAAACACACCACACTCAGACATGCAGCCTGATAGAATGATAATCTCTTATAATGTGCTTCTATTTAAAGCAACAAACAGATGGAGGGTTTATGAGCAAGGCTGGTAAAAGTAAAAGCAAATGATTGCAATAGTTGTACTTTTAATAGGATTCCCCACCATCTCAAACATTATTCCCTGGGGAACAAATTGTTCTATAAAATTATGTTACTTGAGAGACAGATAGTCGCCTTGACATTGCTGAGGCTCTAGAGAATTCCGGAATGGCCATGTTTTGCATGGCCTCTCCACTCTGGGGTCTCTCCACTCAGATCAGCATCCCAGGGTAGGGGTGATAGGGTGTCAGAAACCCTGATCCCCAAATAACAAACTCAGTAGAACAGGCTAAAGGGAAGAAAGGACCAAGGGTAGAGGGGGTATGAGGTATGTCTGCGTTTCAAATTTATTTCCTTCCAATTTTCTACCTTGAAAAACAAGATTTGGGAAATCCTTACAGATTTAAGATAAACATGCAACATGGCTTTCTGCCCTGCTGGTTCAGACCAAAGTCAGGCTCTAGCACAGCAGATCTTGCTTAAAAAACAGTGGAGTTGTAAACAACCCAACACTAATTCATTATCATTATCCCTGCTTACAAGAAACAAAAGTCACTATAATTTTATCAATAAGATGAATATACCACAGTGATGGCCTTTACGTAAATTATAATTAAAGCTAATCTTAATTAAAGTTATTACACCATTCTGGAAGAAAATAAACAAGCCGAAGTGAGGGAAACAATGTGGTCAATAACTCACTCCAAAAATATTTTTTTTGCTTCCAAAGCTCACATTGAGGGAGACATTCCTGTGCATGATACAAATGGTTCTGACATTAAGAAAAGTAAACAAGTAAGAAAAATAAAGATGGAAAAATTCTGTGGTCAGTTCACAAGTGCTTTTTTATTGTTTGAGGCAGGGTTAAAGCCTTTTATAAAGACAAGGATATATGTGCCGCTAGATTGGATAGGACATCAGGCTAGTCTAGCTGCCCTTGTGGAGAGCGCTGCTGCCCATAATATGCCATGGACAAAACACGTGTTGATGCTCCTGAACAAAGAACCAATGTGGGATTGAGAGCAGGTAATTTAAAATATTACCCCAATGCTGTTTTGTGGATCAAACACAGAAAAGATACTCAACTCTCCTTACTAATAGGTTGGAGAGGTGTGTGCAAACATTCAATAATCTCTAATTATTAATGGTCTTGAGGATTTTAATGTTAACTAGTCTGAACAGCTGATTAATGGAGGTTGTATAATCTACACGCGGGACTCCTGCCAGCCTCAATACATGTCATTCCAGGACTGTGTTGACTCAGAGGCCAGAGGCTATATGATCGGACTAGAGCTGAGAAAGAGGGTTCTTCTCAGGCAGCTCAGGGATTCTGTGCCCCCAAGGACTTTTACAATAGCAACTCTCTTGTCACTTGGTAGCTGTAACTTGGAAGGATTCTCTTCCAGGCTTTGCTGTCCTAATACTGGGGTGGGGGGGACCCAGGACAATGAGCATCTGGTCCAAATACAAGAAGCAAAATTAAATGCTATTGTGTCAAACAGCAAACCAATCTTTCCCACATCTCTCAGAGTCATTTGACTTGTGCACCCAAGTTCAATAAGTAAGTTCAGTAAATGGCAATCACCCAAGTAGCATGATAGTGCTTATTTCCCTTGTGACCTGGTGCTAGAATACAACCAAGGATGCACAAAGATACAGCGATGGATCTAATTTTCGAGAGGCCCTGAAGAAAAAAACCCATGAAACTCAAAAGGTCTGTGCCTTCTGTAAAAATCATGTGATCTGGTGGGTATTTTCTATAGTCTTCATTTTGTTTTTCAACCTCCTGACCCATCACTCTAGCTTTCATCACCTCACTACTTTTAAATAGCACCCGAAGGGGCAAGCCAGCCCCCAGCACAAGTATGGCCATAGGCATAGCTAGAAGTGTGTGGTTAAAAATAAATAAGAGTCCCTGGTGCAATCCAATCCTCATGCTGGGAAAGATACCTCTTGCTGTATTGTGTTTAGGGCAAGAAATGGATTAGGAAATGAAGAAAATAAGATAAAGCCCATGCTTTTGTAGTCAGGGATTTAGGGAAAGCAATTTAATCAGATATAAGAGTTGTAGTGACATGAAGCTGGCCATGAATGTAGGACCTGGCTGTGAGGTTATCCTTTCTGTTCTCTGAAAAACTGCACATGGCATATGTCACCTGTGTTAAAGATGATGCTGAAGTACTGAAGAGGGGAGGGGGTGAGTATATGAGCCATGCATATGCAGAATATTTAAGGGCTAAGATTTAAGGGTCCTTCCCCCTAAACTGTGACTGTTCCACTACAGCAGAGTGGCATCAGAGGAATCTTGACTCAGTAGGCAAGCAAAAGACAGTCTCTCTCCCTAGACTGCAGCTACTGAGCACGCCCAGGGAGGCCCCAGGTGTGACCTCTGCTCCCCTGTGAGCAATGGAGGGACCAGGCAATCTATCATGGTGTTCATGCTGTCAGCCCTGGTACTTCGCCACCACTATCTGTCACCCTGGTGGATGAGACCTGCTTAAGGGCAATCATGTCAATCTCTCTGTGGTCACTCTGTGTAAGGCAGAAGGATGATCTTGATCGGCCTGGCAAAGTCAGCACAAGGTACCAACAGCTGAAGTCACAGCCTTCCCACAGAGACACGAAGTGGGTCCTTGTGTTTTCCTTTGGCTTTTTATTTTTGCTTTCCTTTTCCTTTTATTTTCACAAAATGGGCAAAGGCATATCGAGTTTGTCTTCAGAGCTGATCATCTCGGATAAATCTGTTACCCTCGGAGTTTTTCCCATAGTAAACATAGCGGCACTTCCCCAGGACACCTGTGAGCAAAAAGAAACACATCATTACAGGTGCCAGAATTAGTATAGCCAGGAAGTGCAGGTGCCTCAAAGCAGACGTCCAGTGTGGTCTACATCCAATCTGATGAGTGGCAGAAAATGCAGTAAGCTCCAAGAAGGGAAGACCACCTTTCTTGTCCTCAGAGTTGACATTCAAATAAAACATCACTACCAAACATAGGTTCTTAGAAAACACGTTTTCTGCATGATTTCCACATTTAAGGGACTGCTCTTCTCCCCAAAACACACAATCCTTTCCTCTCTCCTGGTTTCCTCCCTAGAATTTCTACAAATGGAAAACCACAAGCTTAAAGGTTTTAAGCAAAAGCTAGAAGTCAATCTTCCCAGATGGCGAAGTCCTTTCTTTGAGCACCTAAGAGATGATTCAGGAAGAGTGGTGGCACTGGTGACGTACCACAGGGACGGTCACAAGGGCTCCTGACAGTGTCTTCTTCTTACAGCCATCCTGAACCCTTTTCTCTGGTTAGAATATATTTAATTTTCACCTTCAATTTTCCTTTATGTAATCTGTGCCTCAGTATAAAGTATAAATTATCCTCATAATTCAAAGAGATTATAAAAGACTTAACTAGGAAAAACATCCGTAGTATAGGGTTAAAGTTTCTAAGAAAACTCACTATTAATTCTAAATACTCATAAGAAATCACCTGCCATAGCTATTGTAAAAGGCTTATAGGATTATTTAGGGGAAAATATTAGTTTTTCCAAGAAAATATTTATAATTTCATTTTGCCTTTTGTCATCTATTTTTTTTCCTCCCAGTTTTAGAAGAACTAAAAATTCAGTTAGACATAGTTGTCTTAGTACTAATAGGACTTGAATCTTCGAAGTGTACCCAGCTGGAGGGAAAATAAAAACCAAGAAAATATCCATAACACATTAATTCATGAGCCACTAATCTGCCTGTGAAAATAACTACCTATATGTGTGATGTTTTTCATCAACATGATAGTGTGAAATCAACGAGCAAGCACCCTTCTTGCTTAATTTGGGATAAATCAGCACTTGAAATTAGGCAGTTCTTCACATCAGAATTTTTAACTGGTAAATATTTTTGTGACTGTAACAGAGCTGTTTCTTCACTACAGAACCTTAAACTTTGCTTTTAAGTGAGAATTAATGTGACTCGTAGGCACTTCTAAGGGAAAGACAGATGTTCCCTGGCTTGGATGAATTGGGACCAATTTGGAAATTGCTGGGATCCCAGGATCTCTTAAGAGTTGGAGAAGGAACCAGATGACTTCGTTCCATGGCTTCTTCTCCTTACTTCCTGCCACGTTCTCCTGAGCAACATCATGGTGCTTTACTCTTCCCACTTGGCCCTGCTTTCTCCTTGGCCCCCAATCCTCAATTTCTGGTTTTCAGCATTGGTCTGGCGCCTGGAAGTACTGAACTTGGATGAAACCTTATTGAGACCCTTCTTGGGGCCTAAATTACTCTTTTGTTGTTGGCACTGAGCTGTAGCCTTTTATTGTGCTGAGGAGTGTCCAGCATTGTGTTGACATTGTCATCAGTGCCAAGATCCTGGTGGTCTGTGGGCTGGGCCAGCAAAGTTTGACCCAGGAACAGCATTGCCTACAGGCCTGGGTGTGGGTACCCAGAGGTATGGGAAAATCCTCAGGGGGCTGCCTTAGGCACCACTGATTCAAATACACCCTCAGGAATCTGGAAGGATGAAGCCAAAGGGTGTTGGTCTCTTTCTATTGCACCAGGACAGGATGGATTTTTATAAAAAGAAATGGATTACACTGTCAAATGCCATAAAGAACACAGTCTTTCTCTTGAGCAAAAGCGTGGAAGATAGGCATACACACACACACACACACACATACACACGCTGCCCCCAGGGGTGCCCTGTCTCCAGTGAACTCTCCAGTGTGTCCAGCAATGTGCTTTCTTTTCTCTACCCTTTCTCCATGGTGAACTGCTACGCTCATCTCTCTTGTAGGCAACCAGATGGAAGGGTGCTCCTGGAACGTGGGCCGGGATGAATTCTGAGCCACATTCTCAGACCCACTTTTTGCTTGGCACTGATAATGATAAGGAAAAGTTTTAGATAACTTAATAGACTGAATATTAAGGTAGTTGTAGAAGCAAAATAAGTAACGTGTTCTTTTAAGATTTGCTTTTCCCATAACTTCTTGTTTAAGGTGAGGATTATCTGACTCTAACCCATAACTTCATTAACCTAACAAAGTTACCATGCCAGGGTGAATTTACAATGTATATGGCCTATCTTGTGTCTGTGACTTGTAAATAGGAACTGAAATTGTATTTACATATCAAAGACCACTAGGGATGAGATAATGGCTAAAAAGGATATAAAAAGGGAAATGCTGAACAAAGGGGGCAGATACTGACCAGACTGGTTTCTGGCTTTCCCGCCCGCCCGCTCGCGAAAAGAAATTTTATTATTTTATCCAAATTCTGTGTCTCTGTGTATTTCTTTCCAAGATTTCTGCAACAATAAAAATCCTTTTTAAGAATTTCCCTGTTTCTTTGGGCCTGGAAGCAAGAATGTTTGTAGACATCCTGGTGAGAGAGGGCTGCCAGATGAATGCAGGAGACCGCAGCTAGGTGTCAGCTCTGGGAAAAGGAGGCAAGGACATGCGGTATTAATATTGTCAATGATCTTTTGACGGGAAAACAGATACCACTGCACTCACTGCCAGATTTAAATAGACATCAAGTGCATTAATGACAATGGGGCAGACTTCAAACAAAGGGGCTGTATGGTGGGGAGCTGAGTTCATCTCTGCGCTGGCAATAACCTGATCTGAAAAGACACTGTCAGGACTCGAGACAGGCCCAGGATTGTGTGCGGTGACAGAAAACAGAGATCCTGACAGAGATACCAGCACCATATTATGCCAAGGAAACTGTAGCGCTGTCTGCTGCTCTAACACAAGCTGACATCATGCCCTACCACTGGAGGTCTTCTCTGCCTGCTCCTGCAGAATGCTTCTCCCCAGACATCATTACAAAACTGCGGCTGTGAAGTTCCTGGCAGTCTTGGTCTGTTGGAGCAGTGGGGTCACAGGGCCTAAGGATAACCTCAGTCAATCTAAATTTGGGCTTTGCAGGAGGCACACACTCGTCCCCACTGATATCCTGGCTACTTGAGGTGATCAGAGGGCCAATGTGTGAGGAGCTGTCACCTTAAATAAAATCCTTAAAGGGAAGGTGCTCAGTCATGGGCTGCTCCCAGGAGGTGCAGGTCGGCCTGGCAGCCGAAAATGAAACCCAGCTGTTCGTGCTTGCCTGGGGAGAAAGGTGCTCTGGCTAGTGACAGTGACATTGGGCTGAAATCTTTGCATGAGAGCCTTCTTTGATGGCTTTAATCAAATAAGCACTGCCTTTCTGAGTTCCCTACCTGAGCTCACAGTGGGGATGTGATTACCCCCAATATGCAACTTTCGTGCTCAAAAATAAATAAATAAATAACATTAACAAGGGGGGGAAAACAACCCAGCACAGTCCTGCATGTGGCCACAAGGCTTTTATTTATCCTGAAGGTTATCTGGGAAATAATAGGCTCTGCTCATAAATTAAGGAAGGGGGCATTATGGGTTGCTCTCTCCTGGCTCTTCCTCCAGCCCTCCCTTTCCACCATGGCAACTGCTGGATGCTCAGAAAATGACAGAGGGACAGTGTGCCTGAATAGGGTACTTTCATCAGGAGGTGCTTAGAGGGTGGAATCTGGGGACCTGCTGGTTGTGATTGTGACTCAGAAGGCCTTGGTTTCCGAGCACATCTGCAATGGATTCACTTGTTTGTATCTCCACAACTCTAACGTCTGGGAGCTGGAGGGGGAACAACACATTTAATGGCATATGTAGTGTTTTTAATTAAAATATCTGGCTTTGGTCATAGTGAAGCAGGCTTGCCATGTGTCAGGCCAACATGCAGATGTCTGCGCAGGGGTTTCTTTTCGGGGGCCCTGAAAAATGATGGCACACTGTTCCCTGGGGAACTGTCTCCTACCAAATGAGACTCCTAATTTTTCTTAAGTAGCCAGCTTTCCCATCACCATAAGCTCTTAAAGCTATAATTATGAAAAAAATGTATTGGGAAGAATCTGTTTTAAAGAGGCTCTTTATCTTCTCCATGTTTCCCCCCTCAGGAATGGATGTTCTAATTATGCAGGTTAAGTTATGACCTTGGCGCTGCCTTGAGGAGGTGGGAAGCAGCCTCTTTTCTTGGATGCCCGGCTGTGATGTCAGGGACAGTTTTAGAGACTGCACTGGGAGGATCCTGAGTACCCCAGGAAAGGAGTTCTTGGAGAACACTGCATCTGAGTCCAGCTGGACTTGCAGAACAGCCTGAGCTACCCACATTTCCACTTAGAGGAGGTGGGGGAGATATGTATTTAAATCCTGCCCTGCCCTTAATGGCCATGTGACCAGGAGCATCCCTTACCCTCAAAGACAATCTATGAGCTCTATTTTAGTTTTGAAATAGGCAATTTAGTACTTTTAAATGTTTTTCTTATGACGATAAGGACATACTTCCAACAGCGCTGTATGGAGGAGGCAAATCCAATGGTCAGTTGATCCACAATTTGAGTTGGACTAAGTCAGATCTTGATACCCATCCAGACCATACCTCCTTACTATAGCTTTGATACCAGGGAGCCCTGTAGGACACCAAAGTCCTCAAGGAAAGGGTTTCTATTAACTTGCTGGTGACGTGTTTCACACTCACAGCCAGATGTGCTGACCACTAACTGTCCTAGGTCCCACCAGCTTTGACACAAGCTCATGGCTCCAAAGGCACCAGCATGAAATCCTAACCAGCAGAGCAAATGGTCTGCTATTCATGTTTTAGTACTGGAAAAGAAAAAAGAATTTGCATATACAAATATAAAAATGTACTGGATGATATGAGTGCAGGTAGGACCAATAAATTTGGATTTGCAAACTAGAGAAATTAAGTATCAGTTTTATTAGGAGATGGGGAAA